GACAAACCCAAGGAGAATAAATAAATAAATACTGTATAACTTTGTAGTCCCTCAGCCTGGCCTGTTCCCCCATCAAGGGACTGTCACTGTCAACCTCAGTTCCTCTGGCCGCCATCCTTCCTGAGACAGGCTGGCTAGAAGGAGGGGGCCTGCCCCACCCTGTGGACTGAGACACCAGGGCTGGCAAAGTCTATACAGTTCAAGAGCCCACAACAGGCAAATGGGGGCCTGGGCCTCACCCACAAGGTGAGACAAGGTCCCGCCTGTCTCCCTCTCTTCTGACACATGGCTCACCACAACGGAGCCACATGAGAGCTGGGGGTGTTGACCTTCAAGTTGTGTGACACTTTTCTCTACCCCTCACCCCCAGCCTTGCTCCTGCTGACTCTTCCTGGTCCAGCTGTCAGGTGCTTTCAGTCACTAGGATAACTGGAGGAGGGACGATGGGAGCCCAAGTCCAGCTGGGGCCCGTGTCCCTTCCAGGGTATGTCTGGGTGAGGCTAGGTGGATGCTCAGGTGGGTCAGAGCTGGAAGGGGTACTGTCGGAGGTAGTCAGCCATGCGCCGGGGCAGTGGCAGGCAGTCTACATCAGCCACCAGACGGTTGATGACAAGGCGGCACAGGTGCTGCAGGCTGCGGGCACTGCTTCTGCGCACAAAGGGCTGCACCAGTTTTAGGTGCACGGCGGTGACTGCAGGGGCAGGTAGTGCTGGGTCACCAGGTGCATCTTCCTTAGGGGTAGGCAGGGCTGGGGTGGGTGCAGGCTCAGGGCTGTCACTTCGGGTGTCAGCAGTACAGGAGGCCACATAGTGCTGCACGAGGCTGACCACGTCTGGGAAGGCCAGGATGCGTGGCCTGGACAGGCAGTTGGAGTCCAGGCGGAAGCTGGAGTCAGCGTACTCAATGCGTACGTTGGTGGGGCCTCGAGTGGTTTTGACAGACAGAGTGAATAGATAGCTGGGGTGGGTGCTGTCACGTACCAGGAACGTGCCCTCTGGCATCTTCTGCAGGTGTTGTCGGGCCTCGCTGGCCGTAATGGAACCCCAATACCAGCCTAGGCAAGTGGAGACGGGGCCAAGAGACTAGTCACAGTGGAATTTAGTTGGGGGCACCAACACAGGGCAGAGCAGGACTCTGCCTCCCCCTTTACACTTCCATGGGGAGGACTGTTACCCCCCCCCCCCCATCAGACTCTCCTGGGCAGGGCCATGTCTCTCAAACCAGACTCAACAGACAGAGCTAAGCTTTCCCCATTGGACTTCCCAGGACAAGGCCTGCTTCCCTCCTCAAACTCACCAGATTCCCGAAGGTAAGAGAAAGTCTTGGCTATGCATAGCAGATCCTCCTCAGGGTCCAGCACCTTGGGTTCACTCTCTGGCTGGGCTGGGGTCTCCTCTGCCACCTCCTCCAGGAAGGACCTGGCAGGCAAAGGCTGCATAGCTGGTTCGGGCAGCTCCAGGGACTGGGTCCACAGGGGCCGCTGCCCGATCTGCTCCACAGCCAGCAAAGAACAGGGTCTAGAAGGGGGTGGATGGGCAGTGAGTGGAGGCCCTATGCCCTCCTGTTACCAGAGACCCTCTATACCCCAGACCGGCTATATGACTTCTGGCCAGTCCATCTCACTATGAGCCTCAGTTTCCCCTTTGCCCACTCATGGGCTCAATGAGATCAGTACCCCGCCTCCCAGCTGTCATCACAAAAGGCTCCTTGATAGCTTCCCCTACATATTGATTCTCTTTTGAAAGAGACTTCTCCACCCTCCTGCATTTATTGAACATTAATTAGTCTATTTTGCACCAGCTGACAACACAGATCATGCCCTATAAGATTTCTAGCTCACAATGGACAACTGATGTCCCTGACAATGGTAGGATCCAGTGCAAAGAAGCCTCACATGGGTGCCCTGTTGGTTGAGGTGGGCTGATTAGATTAAATGGCGCTGGTTCTGCTTGAGCCATGGCCTGGGCCTTCATGGGGTGCTCCAGAGAGGTCCCAAAATTATGATAGGATGCCTAAGGTCATATGCTACCTCCCTATGGATAGGAGTATCTGTAGGAGGGACCGCGGTCCACACTGGCCAGGGCTTAGAGGCTGGAACAATCTCCCTAAACAGGTCAGACTCCCATCCTGTTTTCTGCTCCTCCCAGCTGAGGGTCTGGGGTGGACAGTGGCTTTAAAGGCACTGGCAAATCCCACTTCCCATAAACAGGACGTCCCACCAAAGAACAGGGTACTCATTCTACATTCCAGATCCCACCCTGGCAAGCCAGTCCTACGAGGCTCTATGACCTTATGTAAACCTTGCTGTTCACTAGGACTGTTCAGCTTTTCTACCCCCTCATAAGGGATGCTACCAGCCCAGATCCTGAGGGGGTTGGCAACACCATCTTGTCAGGTGACTAGAGTTGGATTGCTGAGCCAGCCCCAATCTGAGCAGTAGCTTTTCTCTAGGGGAAGGCCACCCAGCATGGTGATCCTGGGACTTCCAGGGAGTGAGGGGCAAGGATTGGCTCGCAGGAAGAGACTGCTGATCCTTCCTCACTCCTCAGAAAATACATCCTCAGGCCTCAGTTCTGGGTCTGGTCCCCTACTGGGCCGCAGGACACCAAGATAATAAAACCATGGGCCTTGCCTTCAAGGAGAACTTATAACCCAAAGTCACAAACACAAAGGGTGTCATGGGGGAGTCAAGGTCTGCCTGTTCCTGAGCTGAGTCTGCCAGGCCAAAGGAAGGAGTAGGGGGAAGGCACTCCAGGCAGAGATGAGAGCATGGGTAAACTGTGCCAGAGATTGCTTATGAGGCAGGATGAGGTAGGCAGAAGCCTTGGCAGGACGCAGGCAGAGGAGCCAGATCTGACAGTGTAGGTTATAGGTGAGCATTAGAAGATGTTAACAAATTGGGAGAAGAGGCCACAAGACCCTGGCACACCACAGTTTGTTTAATACTTTTCCATACCCACTCTCGGTGTACTGTGGGAGCTCTGGAATCCTAGTGGGGGAGCCACGTTCCAAGGAACTAGCTGGTGGCCTGCCTGCTGGGACCCAAAGCTCAGCTCAGGCTAGCCAATCAGGCCAGAGCGCCTGGGGGTGGCCATGTCCAGACAGCTTAGCAGGGCACTTGTGGGCATGGGCACCTCCAGGGTCAACAAGGTATCTGGGTGTGTAAGGAGCTGTATTGGTCCCCACAGTTCCTGGTGAGTGACTGTGTATCTTAGGAGGGGTGTGTCCACAGCTGTTGTCATGGCGGGGGCGATGGCTTGTGTGTTCCAGGTGTGGGTGGCCTGTACCTGTGTGTGCCTGTTGTGGAACCCAGCCTGTGTGTCCCGCCTGGGGATGCATGCCAGTGGGGCAAACTCAACCCTGAGGGTGGACCCCCTCAAGCAAAGCTGGGAGCCCAAACCTATATTTGGGAATCTCTGCCCCCTACCTTGGGAGGGCACCAGCTGGTTTGTGGCTGTGTGTGTGTAGGTCTTAAAAATCTTGCTCCCTGACACCCAACACTGGTCCTGAGGTTCCAAGGGACTTTTAGCTGGAACAAAGTAAAAAGAGAATGTGGGACTTCAGAACTGGGGGGATCTGGAGGACAGGGTGTGGGGGTGTTCAGGAGTCCCAAAATTCAGAGGAGGGGTATGCTGGAGACGGCCAGGGAGAAGTATAGTAGTATAGTTTCCCTGGCACCTCTGGGTTTCCTCCCTGGAAGCAGACCTGCTCAGAGCAAGGGGCACTTCAGCCTTGCCCCACCTTCCAACCTTCTTCACTTGGTACTATGCCAGTTTTGATAACAACAGCCACTGGGCCACCCAGCTCTTCCTGGGTGTGGAGTGCTCACTCATATCTTCTTTCTCACTCCCTGGAGCTTTCTGAGCTCCTGTCAGATCAGTCTGGAGAGTATCAGACCCATTGTTGAAGGGGATGCTGAGGTGGAAGGAATGCTGAGGAAGAATGCTCAGTTGAGGCCAGGACTCTGTCTTACCAGCCTCCACACCATCCTAGTCTTTGAGGAAAGTTGGAGAAGGGAGGCAGGAGTCAAGTCCTCACTGGGATCCCAGACTGGACTGAGGAGGGGCAAGGCAATTGTGGGGGTGCCACGGGCAAAATTCAGGCTCTTCCAAGACCTGCTGCTTAGCCAACCAGGGGGGAGGCGAGGATCTCAGACTGGCTTCCCAAGAAAAGCCTAATTGCTAGCCCATGGCAGAACAGTGAAATCGGAGAGGGGCAGGGGCTAACCTAAGGTCAGCAGTAGGCCCTGCGGCCTGCAGGCTAGGGTAGAGTGCTCTGGGCCCAGAAGGGGGTCTGGGCAGGTGAGCCACGTCTTGGAGGATGAACTCCGCTGGCGTTCAGCTGCTCCAGCCAGAACCCAGGCTTAGGCTACCCGGTGCTCCTCCCGTCGCCAGCCGACCCCCAGTTTCACTACCCACAGTGCGAATAGGGTGGTGACGGTGTTGTCACCATTCCCTGTTGTCACCCTGAGGTCCTTCCGCACTCGGTCATTTCCGACCCGTCAAGCCCTCTCAATAGCCGGCAGCTAGCACGAGGCGGTACTCTCCCGAACGCCGGGCGCCGTCGCCCGGCTGGGACGGCGAGCCGCGCTTACCCCTGAACGCAGAGGACCATGTCCCGGCAGCGGCAGCGGCAGCTCCGGAGCTGAGGCTCAGCCGGACGGTGGCGGCTGGAGGGAGCCCGTGGGCGCAGTCTCGCTCGTAAGGCAGGCTCCCAGGGCGCACCGGCGACGGGATGGGAATGAGAGGCCAAGGCGCTGGCTGGCCGGGAGGGCGCTGGGGGCGGGCCGGGAGGGTGGGGCGGGGCGAGCCGCCTAATCTTTTGTCCTCTGTGTCCCAGCCCTTCCCGGAAGCGACGTCTTCCTAGAACCGCCGGCAGTGCTGCCGGGCCGGGGAGGGGCGCTGGCGGGGGCGCCGGCTCCTAGAGTAGGCTCAGGGCCGCTAAAGGAAACACCTTTGACAGATTTCCAAGAACTCTCCAGGAAAATGGGGCGGGGCCCCACGCGCCGACCAATCGCAGCTCGGGGTGGGAGGGGGGCGGGCCAATTGCAGTTTTGAGATGCGAGGCAGACAAACTAGCCGGGTTGAGCTTGACCTAGGGATCACCAGGGAAAAACCGGGTTGAAGAAGGCCAGGGCGGGGCAGGGGTTCTCCAGGACAGGGGTTCTCCCCACCCGAGCGCAGACTTCTTTCGGGCATTCCGCTTCACTGGGGACAGGCCCCTGTATCTCTCTGCAGAACTGGTGGCAGCACGAGGCAGGGTCTTGGGTCTGTTCTCCCAGCTAGCGGCTCCCTCAAGGCGGTCTGTCTGGTGTGCAAGCGCCCCCTGTGGGCCGCACTTGGATCTCCGGACTCTGTGCGGTGGTGGGGAAACTGGTGGCATGGGGTGGGGTTTGGAGAAGGACATGAGAGGAGGGGAGGGGCACAGAGGGGGGCCTCAGATCCGAGCAGGTCCGCGGGGGTCAAGGATCCATCACAGCCAAAAGGATCCAGGCGAGAATGCTTTCTCTGAAAGACTTGGGGAAGAAGGCACATCCCAATCTTGGGATGGGGCAAGTGTGGAGACTTCATTACTCACTTGATGGCTTGGGCACCGGGAGACCACAGCATGGGGCACCTATGTAGGGTGCAGTCTCTTCAGTAGAAACTGTCTACCGCTCCATTATTATGAAGACAAAGGGGCTTCAAGCTGCCAAGCAACAACTAGGATTTGAACCTGGGTACCTGAGTCTCTATGGGGTCAAATCCCAAGTTCTCTACCTCAAGACTCTGTCTTCCCTCTAACTGTGAGTATTTTACAGAACACTTAGTATGTGCCAGGTGCTCTCAGCGATTTCCAGCCTCATTTCATTGTCTAACCATTATATATTGTGTCCTCTTTACAGGTGAGGAGATTGATGCACAGAGAAGTTAAAATGCACCCTAGATCTCACAGCTGACAAGTGGTTAGTTGGGGCTTGTAGCCCAGTTCCCCCCAGTGCCCCATCGTCTCTAAGTGCCTTGACCTAACAGCTCCTGGGCATCCTTCAAGATCCAGCTTTAAGGTCCTCCGTGAAGCTTCCTGCCTCCAGGCCAGTCCATGTCAGAGTACCCCAATGGTGTCCCCTTGAAAGCTCCCTTACAGATGTCAGTGATTATGCAGTTCTGTATGTTAAATTAGAGGGCCCCAAGGGTTTTGCCCTCCAGCCACCTTTCGTGAATTTGACAGTTATGCACCTGTGTGCACAGTATGTGGCCTGCCCCTGTTTTGCCCCAGTGTTGTGGGTCCCCTTGGCCAACTCTTTATCACCTTTCCTGCTGTCTGCTCCCTACACACTCTTGCTCTAACTGCTAGGCCCACATCGCCACCCAGTGGCGAGTCCTCTCATGGTTTCACTCAACAAATTTCCATATTCCAGGATAACCCCTCTTCCCACTCCAGGGATTGGCCTTGTCACAGGATCTCCCTGCTTCTTCCTACCCAAAACAGTCACAAGATGGGTCAGTCACAATAATACCAGCAGTGCCTTCCTTGAAGTCTGGCTTATTTGGTCTCTCTACTCTCATCATTTGCAGCCTCTCTTCCCCCTGAAGGACAGTTCACATGTATATGTGTGTAAGGGATATATTTAGCCCTCTCCCCCTCTCCCCACACTCACTGGACCTCTTTGCCACTGTAAGCTATTCCAAAGGCCTCAGCCCTAGACTTCTTGGACATACAGCTATCATGGAGGACTGTGTGGCAAAGTCTGCCACCATGAACCCACCCCTGCCCAGCCATCCCAAATGCTGAATTCTCCCATCAGTGTGCAGGTGGTTGCTGGAAAATGAGCAGCTAAGGGAAACCACACCTTCTGACTCTCTTGGATTAAATGAGCAGTTGCAAAACATTTGTCTATGATGGACCTATATGGGAAATGTGTGTGCTTTTGTAAGCACTGGCATTGGTTATGGAGACTGCAAGAGGACAGGCATCACCAGTGCTTACTTTTTACATTTCCCTATGGTTTGAATTTATTATAACAACCAAGTTTTACTTATGCAATTAAATTTTAATTAAAAAGAGATAAGTTAAAAAATACAATTATAAAATGTTTAGAATAATTGTAATCTAATTCCATTTTTAGAAAATAAGATATCTCAGCAACTACAGCATACACTGAGATAACTTTGGCTGGGACAAGGAGCCACCCTCAGCTGCCCAGCACTCTGCTTTTGAGTGGGACCCTGCTTGTCCAGAATGAGATCTTGCTCAGCTTTGGGCTCACCTGGCCCAAACCAATCACCTCCAGAGGGAGGATCCTTCTCCAGTCTCCAAGCTGCAGAAGTTTCCAGATCACAGGGCTTCCTCCAAGGCTCTGAGATCTTGGATCAGATTCTTAAGTGGGACTCAGGGAGAGAGATTCTGGGTCCAGCTAGGCATAAATGTGTGTATGTGTGTGGTGTGCATGTGCATGCCCATGTGTCTGTACACATGTGTACATATTTGTGCATTTGTGTGCATATTTGAACATATGTGAGAGCATATTTGTACATGTGGATGTAGGAATGGGGCAGGGAGGCACAGGGGAGGAGAGCATCATTTGAGGGTAAGAGCTGGGCCCTGGAGTTGTTCTTCAGGGGTTGGGGTGGAGACTCTGCCATGACAGCTACTGATCTTAGGCAGGTTGCTTGATCTCTAGGGCTTGTCTGTCTTGTAGGCTGTGTGGGATGTGTTTAGTCCTGCCTACTCTGGTTCCAGTGAGGTCATGGAGTGCCCAGGTAGAACACCCACACAGTGTCTAGTCCAAAAGAAGGGTTCAGTACGGTCAGTTGAGGTCATCATCAGGGCCTCTCCTTCGCTGAACTCTGCTAGCTTGAAGAGTGTTTCAAGGAGACAGGGCAGAGCCCTGGGCACTGTCCTCCAGCACAGCAGGTTCCAGCTCTCCAGGAACTGCTCTGAAGAGCCTTGGACCTACAGGACCCCAGGAATCCACGTGCACCTACGTGCGTATTTGTGCTGGGGCATGCATGGGAGGTGGGTGAAAGCGCTAGTCCGGCCCAATCCCAAAGTCAGAAGGACTCAGAGACACCTACGGGTGGGACCTAGGCTGTGCCTGCAGTTATGCCAGTGGCCTGTAGATGGCAGCAGAGGCCCGCGCAGAGATCATGACCCAAGTCTCCCTTTCCCAGTACCAAGTGAACCACCTTGTTCCAGTCCCTCAGTCTGAGGGTTGGGGAGTGAGAGGGGTGTGCTGGTGTAGTGCAGATTTGTCCCAGGAGAGAACAACACCCACTGCGACTCTAGACAAGTTGTTTCCTCTCAGGGGTCCTCAGTTTCCTCATCTGTGAAATGAGGTGTTTAACAGCCTGTGATGGGAAAACTATCAAAATACCTAAGGTATAAAATGGGCTCAGAATAGAGACCTAAATGTGGAAGGGAGCACCACATAGCCAAAGAGTATCTGGAGTGGGAGGAGGCGATTTTGTAAACACGATACCAAAAGCTCAAACCAGAAGGTGAAAAGTTGATGGATCTGACAAATGGGAATTTAGGATATCTGGCCTAAGGACGCTTCATCCCAAAGTGGGGGGGGGGGGGGGGGAAGCCACGGATATGAGCAGGAGATGCACAGAAGGCGAGAGACACCCAGAGCCCGCAGGGATGGGAAAAACGCGAATCACAACGAAATGCCATTTCACGTGGCTCCATGGCAAAAATTAAGACTTTAGGTACGCTGGCGGTGGGCCACCACTAAGGAAGTCGCAAGCCTTACAAGCCTTGCTAGAGGGCCGTCTGGCAGCGTGCAGAGAAAACGCCCGACTCAAGTGGCTTCCTGTGGCTCCAAGAGAAACTGCGCTGTCACTTCGTAGGTCGCTGGTAAGCTCCGGGGCTCTCACTGCCCTCGCGGTTCCGGGGCTCGGGAGCCTAGGAGGTTTCCGCTCTCCTTCGGGAAGCCACGCCCCCTATTTCTGTCGGGGCTCCGGGGCGGGGCCCGCCGGAGGCTCCCTCCACGCCCGGTCCTGCCAGGGCCCGCCTGGCCCTTTAAGGCTGACCAAGCCCGGCCTCAAGTCGGGGACGCGCGGGGCGGGAGGGGGGGGGGCGTGGAGGAAAGGAGGGGGGCGGTCACGTGGGCCGCCGGCGGCGCGACTCGGCTCTAGGCGCTCGCGGCCGCTGGCTCCCGGGACCGCGGTCCCTGCCCCTCGCCGGCGCCGCAGCCAGGTACTCTGCTGTCAGATACGCCCTTGCCAGGTACGCCCTCATAGGGCCCCCTCCACCTCCCTCTCCCAGAACCTCACGGTCACTTGGCGCTCGACCCTTTACCCTCTAGACAGGTGTCAGGCCGGACTCCCTAGTGCTTGGTTGTGCGACCACCCCTCCTGCCTCGCCTCTGTACTCTCCCGCAGTTCGTCCCGAACTCCCGGCCCCGTCCAAGACCCGCAGCCCAGACAGGCTCTAGGGCTCCAATACTGGGGTATATTGGAGGAGTCTGAGAGGAACTCATTCTTCCCTTCTCCCTCAGGTGGCCCTGGACGCGCCAGGCTGGGGTCGCCTCTGAGCGCCCCGCGGGGGCCATGGATGACGAGACAGCAGAGGAGCAGGGGGGCCCCGCGCCACCGCAGGGTGCACCCTGCGGACCCGGCTCAACTGGCGCTCCTGCCCTCGGGGGGCGGAGGGAGCCCAAGAAGTACGCAGTGACCGATGACTACCAGTTGTCCAAGCAGGTGCTGGGCCTGGGTGTGAACGGCAAGGTGCTGGAGTGCTTCCACAGGCGTACTGGGCAGAAGTGTGCCCTGAAGGTCAGTGACCCCTCCTGGGTGACTCGGAGGGCCCAACAGCAGAGGCTTGTGGGTGCACATATGCCCAGGACCCCTGCTAAGCTTCTTATGATCAGTATCTCCTTTCATCTTTACACTACCTTGTAAGGTCAGGCTCCTGGTCCTCCTTGCTTTACAGGTGGGGAAGTCGAGGCTCAGCTTAGCTAAGCTCAGGATGTCCCTAAGAGCAAGGGGTGGAGTCAGTGTGAGTAGAGTCTGCTCTACCCGGAAGCAGGGAAGGAGCGGTTCCTGACTCTGGGGTTATGGCTGGCTGGGCTTCTGTGTTCCGGCAGGGCGTGGGGGTGGGGGGTGGGGGCTTACTCAGCTTGGTTGTTCCTTCCATGAGAAACTCTTCTTCTCTTTCTCCTCCCCCCACCCTTCCTACTCCCCTCTCCTCTTCTTCTTTTTCATGAGAAGCTCTTCTGACTGGAATGAATCTGAGTTTCCTTCTGCCTGAGGCTGAGTCCCCACCAAGGCTTGGGGTGGGGCTGCTTTCTCCTATGGCCCCTGCCTGCCTGGGCTGGAGGGGTGGGAAACTCCCAGGGCTGGCTGGTGGGTAAGGATGGTGCCCATCACGTCTGTGAGCAGGAAGCTGCTGATGGGCTCCAGCTGAGTCACCGGCCCCATGTTGAAAGGGGCAGGCCTTGCTTCAAGTCTGACCCACCCTGGTTCCTGGGCAGAGGGTGGGCCAGCCATCTATTCATGTCACACCACAGCCTCCCCTGGAGGCCTGGCTAAGAACTCACTGATAGAGATGGAATCCAGGGAGTCCTGGAGGTGGTTGATGTAGCCACATAGTTCTGGCTTAAGTCACTTAGTTCTTGGCCCAGGACCCTGCCTCATACCCAGAATGCCTGGAATCTGTCATCACTGGGAAGTTCACTCCATTGTGGTTTGTGCCAGTGGCCACCTGGATGGGTAGATCATGGCAAGGAGAGCAGCTTTGGAGGTTAGAATACAGCAAAGGATCTTCTCATTTTACAGACATTGCAATTATGAGCTTGAGTGCAGGGTTCTGCAGACGTGGCTCTAATCTCTGGCCTACATTTGCCAGCTCTGTGACCTTGGACTAGGTCCTGGACTCTGGAAACCAGGTTTCTGCCTCTGTTCAGGGGGAAAGATAAGGGGTTTATGTGAGCTTAGAATGTGATGGTGACTGTAGAGTAATTGGTACTGGGTCTGGTGCAGGCCTGGAGAGGCTACGGGACTTATTTAGGGTACAGTGTCTGCAAGTAACTGAGCAGGGACCTGGGCCCAGCTCCTTGTGTCTTTCTTAGGGGCACTGGGGCTGATAGGATGGGTCTGGAGGTGGCTGGTCTGGGCTGGCAAGGCTGAGTCTCAGGCACAGCTTCTTCACCTACTAACCCAGTAGTGAAGTGGGGTTTGGGGTCCTCCTCTGAGTCCTTCGAGGGGGAAGTGGCTGTTCTCAGTGGGGAGTTTCCACCTCTTCCCTCAGCACCATCATAGCTCTCTCACCTCTTATGAGGTCAGGGGCAGTTTGGGTAGGCAAGGGGCCAAATGAGGCCAGAGAACCTCTTCTTAATACCAAGCCTTTGGCCCTGTGTGCCAAGGCTGAGTTCTGACCAGCCCCTATGGTGTTCCAGATGCTGTGAGTGAGGCAGGGATAGAGGGGGAGGCCAGAGATTGTGGGCCCAGGCAGCACCACTTTAAGCAGAGCTGGGTCTAGGCCCTTCCCCATAGATGCTGTGTTTGACAAATGACTTGGGGGGGCGGGGACTTCTGACTACAACAGTTTCCAAAGCACTTCCTCTTGAATCTAGGGCTTCAATGCTTTCTCTGTTCTGGACTGCGAACTAGGACAGGCCTAGAATAAATTCTCCTGCTGTACCCCTTTAGGCTTTATGGGTGAATATGGCTAGGGCTACTGCCTTGGAACCTTCAGGACCTGGCCCTAAGTTGGCCCTCAAGGGATACATGGATTAGATGTGGGCCCCACTCCAATACTTTCCTTTTCTTGCCCCCAGCCCCCTTCCAGCGACCAAGTCTGGAAGTTTCTACCATCTGGCTGGTCTTTACCATCTTCCAAGATGGCACTAGTACAACCTCTGGCACATCGTACGTGTACTGTGAGTGGTGGCTCTAACTTTGAGGAAGACGGTGTGATTTTTCTGCTTAGCCTCTACCCCTGCCATCTCTGCCCTTCTTGGTGGTCCAGGCCAAGTGCCCTGGCCTCTCTCCATGCCTGTCCTCTTGGCCTTGTTGTCCAAAATGGCAGATAGTGCTTACCCTGAAGCCTGGAATGTAGCAGGCCCTCATCAAACAGGAAGAGTTGTGGTCAATGTCCTGTAGCCGTTGCTATTCTCTGGGGGCCCTGGAGGAGCAGGCTCCTCCTCGGGGAGCTGGGCCTCTTCCCCTTTCCCTCAGCTCCTGACACTGCTGTGGTTTATCTTGGCTTCACTCACACTCAGCTATTCTCTCTTGAGGCCAGTTTCTTCTGCTGGCAGGCCCTTCCACTCTTCAGTCCCCCCTAAGCACTTGCTGCAGTCCTGTTGGCAGGACCTAGAGGACTGCCCGCCAAGCATGGGGGGCAGGGGACTGCCTCCTACTGACCTCCTGCCTATGCCTCCTTCTAGGCCTACCTAATGAAACAGTATGCCTCAGTTTCACTCCTAACTGGGCACAGCCTTGTATATCTGTCCCCCATTAGTCACCCCACCACATTTGAGACACAACCCCTCAATCCTCATCACATATGTGAAAATTGTGACCTGGAGTCTGTGGTCAGAAATCATGTAGCTTAATTAAGATTATAGCAGAGGCCAGAATCTCTTCCCCTCCTGATTTCCTGCCCAGCCCACTTGTGGTCCTCTGCCTCAGGGCAGGCAGAAGTAGCCATGGCACTTAGATAAATAAAAACCTAAAAAGCTTTGAGAAGACAGAGGGGTTCTGCATGCGGAAGAAGTGATTCTTCTTTCCTACCACTGCTCTCTGGGCTCTGGGGCTAGGGGCCCTCCTCTCTGACCACTGAGTATGTTGGAGGCCCCAGGGCTCCCAGTGCCCTCCTCTTCCCTTCTTCTTCAAATAGAATGGAGTGGTGGGGTGCTGGGTCCCCATGCCGGGGAGTTCCCCACATTGTTCCATGGGTGGGGCTGGCCTGTTGAAGCTGGTGCTATGGAGCTGGATTTGAGGCTGGGTGGGGCCACCAGGCAGGCCGGTACTTTCTCATTTGGCAGCAGCCACCCCCTCACCTACCAACTCCAGACCGGTCAGATCAGCCTTGGCGGGGCCATTTGTTACCGAGTCAACAAGTCAGGAAGCGTGTGGAGGGGCCGGCAGTCCTGTGCAAAGGAGTCCCCAGTAGGGCTTTCACTGTACCCAACCACCTCCCCCACCCCCACCCCAGGCCGTCCCTCTCCTGGAAGGAAAGAATTTGAGGAGCTCATGTGCTACCATGCTGGTAGAAAGTTCTGAACTGCCAGAGGTGGCAATTTGCTGTTTAAACAAAGATTCTAGGAAAGGCATCAAACCCTAAAACCTGCAAATAGTGGAGTTTTTGGCAGAGATTGTTTGAGCTGCTTCGTACCTGCTCACGCATTTGCAAGCTGTGCTCAAAGCCTAAACTGCTGCTGGGACTGCCAGGGTCTTCCCACCCTATCCAGGAGCTGACACAGTCTTCAGGACTTGGTGCTGCAGATTCTAATATTCTCAAAAATGGCCAACAGTTTCCCAGACTGTTCTGATGGGTCCTATCCCCAATGCATGAGATGTGTTATGTTACCTAATTCTTGTCATTCCCATTTTATGGACAAAATTGTTGCTATTCAGCAAGGCGAATGACTTGCCCAAGATGCACAGCTGACGAGTGGCAGGACTGTGACGTGAGCCCAGGCAGTTTGATGCCAGAGTCTTAGCATTTAAGTCACCCTGTGCCTCATGCTAGTTTATGGGGACAGGGGATGGTTTCTAAGACTTGGCCCCTGGAAGGGTGCTGTCATCATCTTCCGTGGTTCCACTGGGAGCCCTGATAGCCCCAGCTGGGCCCCAAGTGATGCTGCTGGTGTTTGTCTCTATCTGCCCAGCTCTCCTCACTGTGTAAGACTGTCTGCTTGTGAGCAGACAAGTAGTCCTGCAGGCCAGCACACAAGGGCCATGACGGCT